CCGGAGCCCAGCAGGTCGAGGCTGCGGTGACCGGGAGCGGCCACTTCACTCCAGTCTGGGTGACTGAGTGAGACTCCAACTCAAAAAAAACCAAAAAACAAATAAAGTCCTATTTTGACAGAGATTGCAATGAATTGCAATGAATTTGTAGATCAAGTTGGGAGTATTGTGAGCTTAACAGTATTAGGTCTTTCCATCTGTGAACACTGGATGCCATTCAGGGTTAGGTATACTTATATTTTCTTTACTTTCTTTCAACTATGTTTTATAGTTTTTAGTGTACATATCTTTCACTTTTTTGATTAAATTTATTCCTAAGTATTTTATTCTTTTTGGTGCTATTGTAAACTGAATTTTCTTAACTTTATTTTCAGATTGTTTATTGCTAGTGTATAGAAATACAATTGGTTTTTGTTATTGTTCTTGTATCCTGAAACTTTTTTGAACTCAATAGCTTTAATAATTTTGTATGTATATGTATTTCTTAGTGTTTCTATGTATTAGGTCATGCCATCTGCAAACAGAGATAGTTTTACTTGTTTATTTTCCATTTGGATGGGTCTTTTTTCTTGCCTAATTATCCTGGCTAGGACCTCTAGTACAATATTGAATAACAGCAGTAAAAGCAGGCATCCTTTTCTTGTTCCTAATCTTAGTGATAATGCTTTTGGTCTTTCACCATTAAACATGGTTGTTAGCTATGCTTTCATAGATGCCCTTTATCAGGTTGAGAAAGTTTCTTCAAAGGCAATAATTCTAATGCACCATTTGGCAAAGTTGTGTATTTTTTTCCTCCTGAAATGTTGAGTCAGGAACAAGGGAAATCTGACAAGTGAATAGATTCAGGATTGCTGCTTTGTCAGAGGGGTACAATAGAAGCATGAGAGACAAGGGTATGGTGGTATTAGCAAGAATGACTATAGCCATGAACCAGGTAGTCTGTGTCTGGATGGAAAAAGAAGTGAAGAGGAAGGGAAAGAGAGTGAGGGGAAGAATAGTATAACCCAGGGGTGAGGACTTGCTCATGTTAAT